TTCTACTTTTTTGCCATATAAAAGATTCAAAATTATATCTAGCTAGAATATATCAATCTTTTTCTTCCTGCCATTTACTGTTAACAGTTTGGTAAGTATTTTTCCAGACATTTTCTATGCATATGCATATATATCTATAAATACATGTATCGTTAGATATATAAAGTTTTCCTGTACATTGGAGATGTCATCCTATCTGTAGCTTGCTTATTTCACATACTAGAATATTGTAGATACTTCTCCTCTTAGTAATACAAAGATCTAACTTCAGCAGAGTGCTCCATTGAATGAATTCAATATTGCTATTAAACCAGTTCTTAAATTTTGTTTTTCATTTTTATATTTAAATATGAAAGTTTTCAGGCATCTGAAAGAGGTAGGAACCTAAGTCTATTCCACCTAATGAGTCAGTTGTCCCATAGCATTTATAAATAATCTACCTTCCTCTTCTGGTTTGAAATAACTTTGTCATATATTAAATACTATATATTAAATGATTACTGTCATAAATTAACATATATATATATATTGAAAACTTGAGTTTATAGATTTTCCATTTTCTTTCTTTTACTTATTTCTTCCTTAATGCCATGGTGTTCCAATTATTGTAGCTTTAGAATGTATTTTATTATCTGCAAAATCAATACCATCCCCTTTCTTCTTTTAAAATTTTATCTTGGTTAATTCTTTTTATTTACTTCTTTTTTTGCATTTGATTATGAACTTTAGAATCATTTGTGAAGGTCCCAAAACATCTACTTAGGATTTTGATGGGAATTAATAAATTAAGGCTTTAACATTTTTGCAAAACTATTATTTCAGTTTAAAAGCAGAGTATACCTCTCCTCCAGGTATCCAATTTTTCTTCTTATATACATCAGTAGTGGTTTTGGTTTCTTGGTATAAGTCGTGTGTATTCTGAGATGTCTTACATTTGTTATACTTTTAAGTGGGGTTTAAAAGTATGTTTTATGACTATCATTAGTATACAACAAAGTGCTGATTTTGCATACATTTGGTAACAGCTTACTTTACTGAATATTAGTTTAGTTTTTCAGTTATTTTTAATGGATTTCTCATGTAGACAATTGTGTCATGTGAAAAAAATGGGAAAGAGGAAGAATAAGTAGTTTTATTTCTTCTTTTACTGAATCTATACTTTGTTTCTTTTTATTTTCTTGTTGCTTTAGCTAGAACCAACTTGGATGTATACTCCTGGGATTCCTCTGGGATCATATACACATCCCAGTATTTTCATCTCTTTACTTATTTTCCTCTGAGTCCTTGAGACTTTTGGGGGGGTTATCTTTGCATTTCTCTGATTTAATTTCCTATGGCATCCTATAGCATCATTTCCTATATATGGTGCACTGCTCTTTTTGGATTTTAACATTCAACAATTGATATTTTTATCTCTAGATTTCTTGTCTTTGGAAAGTTACCTGTGATCCCGAATGGTCACAAAGGAGGTCCCTTTGGGTCCTCATACCCCACAATGGCCATCCTCCTGACACAATCTCCACCTTGCCCTTGAACTCCATGCTCTTCTGGCTCTCCTCCTAGCTCTCTTCTCCTGTCTCTTCCTCTCCCACTTTGAGTTCCTGAGTTGTACCAGTCTTCCTTCTCCACAAGTTCTCCCTGAACAATCCCATCCATCCCCAGGTCTACTGCCCATTTGCCAAGTCTTGAGAGAGTTCTGACCTCATGGCTCTATTGAACAGACATCTTTGCTTGAATGTTTCAATGCCAGACTCATGGGCTCACTGTCTTCTGACTTTGTTACTCCTAATGGTGCCATCATCCAGTGACTGCCCAAAATGGAAGTTCAGAGTCAGCCCGGACTTCCCTTACCAAACACCTCCCTGCCTTTGCGTGTACCCTTCCCTATGCCAACAGAGAGTTTTTCCTGATCCTTCACCTGGTCGTCCTTCAAGGTCAAGCTCAAAAGACAACTCTGAGACTTTCTGGAATTCTTTTATATTTTTTCAGCAGTACTAGAATTTGAACTCAGGGCCTATACCTTGAGCCACTCCACTAGCTTTTCATTTTTTGTAATTTGTTTTTGAGGTGGGGTCTCATGAACTATTTGCCCAGGCTGGCTTCAAACCACAATCCTCCTGATCTCTGCCTCTGAGTAGCTAGGATTACATGCGTGAGCCACTGGTGCCCAGCAGCCTTTCTGGAATTCTTAAGGTAGAGAAATTTAGGTTCTCTCCTCCTTGTTCCCTCAGTACTTGATAAATGCTCTTCTACCAAGCATTTGGAACACTGTAGAGAAGTTGTGTGCATGTTCAGGTCAAGAGGAAGACCAGGATGCCCCTATTCTTTCTCACTTCTTGCTCTCTCACAACCCTCCCCTCCATCATATCCCAAGTCTAAATCCCCACCCAAGTTCAACCCAACTACCACTTCTGCCATATTGCACCTGAGCTAGCCCACAACTATGGAACCCAACTACATACCTGTAGTGTGTTCCTCTTCTTATTTTCTTAAATGACTACTTCATGCCTCCTTCTTCTTTGTCCCCAAACTTCTTATATTCCCTCTTCCCCTGATGACCTTGCCTCTAATTCACTGAAAATAGGAGCAATTGGAAGACAATATCCAAATTCCTCACCACCACATCTTCCATTTCTCTTGAATCTGAACCCACATCCCCTGTTCCTACCAAAGACATGGCCCCTAATTTTGTTCTGCCTCTTGTCCCCTCCCACCTTCCCTGAGTCTAGGCTCTTACAGTGATCCCTTTTCTCCTCTCCAACATCTATACTTGCTTTTCTACTAGACCATGTCCTTTGGCTTCCATCCAATCACCCATCTCTTTAAAAAAAATCCCTACTTCTCTAGTAACAGCCCCTTCATGTCTCAGTGGTCCTTCACACCAAATCCTTCTTTGTATTATTGTCTTTAACAGCTATCTCCAATCCATGTCTCCCATCTCTTCTCACCCTTTGCTGACTAAACATCAGTCCCTTCAACTTCCCTGAGCCTTGTCAAGATAACAGGGGTCACCAAGCTGCCAATCAAACACATTGTCACAGGTGTGTCCTCATTTTGCTCTACCTTTCAGCAGCATTCAAGACTGCTGACCACATTGTCCTTGAAATACTTTCTGCCTTGGCTTTCACAACACCTGCTCTTTAGGTCTCTCCCCCCTACCCCACCTCCAAGGTGTCATAGTTTCCTTTGTTCAGTGTTTCATGTTCTGCAGCTCCAGTCATGAGACCTCTTTTCTTCTGTGTACCTACCAGCTCTGTGAATAACCTCATTATTCTATGGATTTAGACACTGTACCTGTGTCTATGACTCCCAAGCTTCTCAAACTTATTCATCCAGTCCTAGCCCCTCCCCTGACCTCTAGTCTCTGACAAGTAAAGTTGGTTGTCTTCTAGGAGGCTCTTGAAGCTTAACAGGTCTGAAACAGAACTCTTAATGTCCTCCTCCAAACATTCTCTTCTCCATGTCTTCTCAGTATCCTTAAAGGGCCCAGTTGCAGGCCAACAACCTATAATCCCAGCACTCAAGAGGCTGAGGCAGGAGGATCTCAAATTTAAAATCAGACTGCTTACATAGTGAGATGCTGTCTCAAAAACAAAACAAACAAAAGCAAAAGAAGGCTCAGATGCTCAAGTCCAAAACCGGAAGTCACTCTTGATTTTTCTTCCTCCACCCCCAACCCACTTCCTTCCCATCCAATCCATCAGTAACCCCTCTTAATTCTACCTGAAAATATTTCCCCAGTGCACCTATTGCTTTCTGTCTCCATCACTATCGTTGTAGTCCGAGGTACTACTGTACTGCTGAAGTAGTCCCCTACCTGCCTCCTGCTTCCTCTATTGTCTGCCAGCCACTCAAACAATCAGCAGCCCAAACGATCTTCTAAAAATGTAAACCTAGCCACACATGGTGGCACATGACTATAATCCCGTCTTCTTGTGAGGTGAAGATAAGAGCATCACCATTCAAGGCCAGCCCATACACAGTGAGCTGGGATCACTCTCTGGAGAACAAAAAGAGGAAAGGGGGTGTGGCTCAAGTAGTAAAGCACCTGCCTAGCAAGTGTGAGGTCCTGAGTTCAATCCCCTGTACTGTAATAAAGAAAGAAACATACATATATAAATACACAAATAAATACATACACACATAAATCAATCGATTGAGCAAGGCAAAGCATTGTCCTGCCTAACACCTTCCAGGGGTCCTGTTGCATTTGGGGTCAAATTCTCTCCTTACCCAGGCTTAGAAAACCACCTGTGACTGGCGACTGTCACCTCCCACCCCTCCCCACCCCATGCCATCTGCCCCCGGCCATATTGGCATTCTTGCTGTTCTGCAAAGACACCTCTTCCTCTCTCCCACCCGAAGGCCTTGTCACAGGTCTTTCTCTTCTCAGACTGCTCACTCCCTCTCAACCCTCTGATTTCATTTTCATCAGAGCCCTGAACACGACTGGACATGTCCCCCTGCCTATTTGCTCATACTTATGATCTGTGTCTTCAACTAAAACTTCCTGAGAGTATGCATGTCATTTATTGTCTAGTGCTCTGTTGACTTCTGGAACCTGGAATCATCTCTGGCACCCAGTAGGTATTCAACTAATGCTTGTTGAAGGGATGAGTGAATCCTAGTGACTCTGACATAGAGCAAGATCCCATTTCTTTGCTGAATTAATAGATAAGTCCCTCCAAGGGTGCTAGAAGCTCCTGGAAGGCAGACATCTGATGTAGGTTTCTTTACTTCCTCCACAGCACTAGCATGGTGCAACATGGGTACTTAGTAAATGTACCTTGTCATCAGGGCCTAGAGACCTGTGTTTACATCACTTCTCTGAGACAGACATGTGACATGAGAGAAATGTCATAAGAACAAGGGTGAATTGGGTAGGGAGTGATAGGGACTGGCCACATTCTTGACTGGGATGGAGGTCACGTCTCCCCCGTTGGGATTCTCCTATCAAATTCCAGCCCCCCTGCTACATTACTTGTTGGTGTTTGTTACAGGATGCAACCTACATGCTGGTGATGGTGGATCCAGATGCCCCCAGCAGATCAGAACCCAAAGAGAAATTCTGGAGACATTGGCTGGTGGCAGATATCAAGGTAAGGAGGCCACAAGCCACTTTCAGACTCATTAGGAATTGTCCCTGAAAGGTATCATTCTGTGCAATCCTCAGCCCTCACTAAGGAGGGCTGGAACCTAAGGTGAGCAAGGATTTCTCCGTCAGCTTGTCCCCAGGACTCAACTGTCATGGCTTCCCAAGTCTTCTAACAGCTTTAAAACATGTCCAAGAATCAATAGAAGAAAGCCCAGTTATCTAGCATTGGCTGATTTTGTATGTGTGTGTATGTGATGTAAGTCCTTTCTTCATGGCCAATGTCAAGGTACCAACGATTAGAACTGACTGACAGAACTTCTGGAAATGTAACAGTTGGAGCCAGTACACTGGATTTAGAGGCCCTGGTTTGGTTCTGCACAGTCCAGGTAGCAGTACTAGTAGGACAGGGGTATCTTGTGGGGGACCCCTCCTCCTGCTGGGCAGGGGACATGGAGAAGGCGTAGTGATTTCCTTTCTTTGTACAAAAACAAGCAGCCACCTTCATAGTGGCCATGGTCTCATGATAGTTACAAAGGAGCCTGGATCTCCCTTTCCAGAGTGGGGGTGAGGAGATTGGGAGAGGGCATTGGTGTGTGGGGGCTGCAGTGGGGGGAGCTCTATTGCCAGACAAACTTTTGGTACTCTTGGTTAAACTGAGTGGATCTCATCCCTCACCTAGTGGCCTTCTAGAGATTTTACAATCCTGACGGGCAGTAAAGTCATCCTTCCGTAGCCTCAGGGGGTTGGGGTTCCAGGATCCACCATGGATACCCAAACCCAAAGATGCTCATGCCCCTTATATAAAATGGCATAGTGTTTACAAAGAACCTGTGCTCAGCCTCCCATGGCTTTAAATCATCTCTGGATTACTTGTAATACTGAATACTATGTAAACAGTTGTTACGCTGCATTGTTTAGGGAATAATGTCGAGAAAAAAATCTGTACATGTTCAGTACAGATGCAATTATATATATATTTTAACCCCCTATTGATTATATCTGAAGATCTGGAACCCACAGACACAAAGCATCAACTTTACATAAAATGAACTTGTTTCTCAACCTCATACGATCATGGAGTCTTATTCATGAAGGTCTGACGGTAGACTTTGGGGAAATCCACTCTAGCCTGTAACACTCATGAATCTGGGCTTAGAAAACCTGCTGATGACTTTGGCAACGAATGTGCAAAGGCCTCAAGCCCATAAGATGGTGAGAACCCAGAACTAGAAAAACTAAGTTCATTACCAATACAATGACCTCTGGGACCCCCCAAGGCATTTTATCTTTATCCATCCTATGTGAACCTTAATTCTGACTCACAGTCATTGTGATGGTCAATGAGATAGCCTGACGTGAGTGCTCTGGGAAACTAAAGAAAACTCCAGATGCAAGGCTGTGTGTCTGTCCTGCTGGAGCAGTGGGCAAAAGAAGGGACATCAATCCATCAAACTATTGATTTCTGTGCAAGGTGAAGGACACAGCCCTCCTTAGAGGTCGCCTGGCCGTGGTCTTGAGGCAGCAGCAACTTCTTAGGCAGTTTCCAAAATGGGCTTGGTGATGCCGACACCCTTCCCTGGCCAGGCGAGGGAAAGGCTTTGCAAACACAAGAAAGGTCAGTGCTGGGCAAGGTTCATGCCATGGGGCAGGAAGGGCAGTGAGGGCACAAAAGGTAGACATCAGCTTTCCCCCAGTCTAAAGCATTGTGACTTTCTGAACCTGGGTGAAGTCCACAAGGGTGGACGGCACAGAGAGGAGCAACGCTCAGAAGATCACATCCCACACGCACAGGCTTCCTGTGAGCGAGTTCTACTCGGAGATTCTGACGCCAGAGAGCAAAAGCAGCTGTGGATAGAATGGCTTGCTAGTTGAGGGGCCCTGGGACTGTGACACTGCCTCTCTTAAGCTTGGAGCCCCCACTCCCACCCCACCCTCACCCTTCACCCTAATACTCACTTCAGGACACGTTTCTCACCAACAACTCTGCTGCAAACAAGGGCTGAGCCTCAGCAGCCCTGCTTAGAGACACAGCAGGTGACAGGTGGCAGCTGTCAGGCAAGGCTGCTAAGCCACAGAGCTTAACCAGGGCCACCTGCCCTGGTATAGCCCTCACTTCCCGCTCAGGCCGGACAAGGCTCAGGTTTCAGTCGCATTTCCACCCACTTTCCCTAGTCTGTCTGCCCAGCAGGAAGCCGTGACTCTCCACTTGCTCTGCCACCTGCCCCACATTCCCCCAGCCACAAAAGCAGTGTTAGCTGAACAGGTTCAGGTCTCAGGTCCTGACCTCAGCCAAAGGAAGGCCAAAGGAAGAGAGGGCTCTATGCAGACCTCAGAGCACTTCCTCCGTGTTGATGCCCGGGGCTGGGAGGGTCTCACACTGCAGGGCACACTCACAGGTGCTGGCAGCTTGGGAAAAATGCAGATTCTCAGACCCCCCACCCCCGCCCCAGAGCTTACACTCCACTTGACCTGGAGAGAATGCCACCTCCATGTTGGACAAGCACCCTGTGGGAACTACCAGCTTGGGGGAAAAGATGCGGAGTTGAGGGCTGGGATGGCCTAGTGGTTAATGTCACCCATGTGTGGAGCCATATTCAGGTGAAATGCACTTTTGAAATGTGTGAAGCTCACGGTCGCTTTGTGAACTAGCATTTTCCTATTTTACAGGTGGGGAAGGTAGAGGCTGGAGAGGGTGAATGACATAGTCTCTCAGCTGGTGGGTTGTAATGGCAATTCTTGGATGAATGTGCTGACTCTATTCTTTGCCATCCCAGGCAGTGTAGGTCACGCTACACCTCCCCCACAGCCCACATGGCAAGTGACCACCATACCCTCTCTGTAAAATGGGAACAATACATCTGAGGCTTCCTCCCAGAACCCCCAGCTCACTCTCTGATGGGCAGAGGCTTCCAGGGCACCCTCCCCAGGGCTGCTATCTTGGTAACAAAAGCACATCCACTCAGCATAAAACCACACCCCCACATATCATCGTGACCCAAGCAGTCTCAGCAGTAAGGCACGCTACATTGTCATTGCAGTGACAATGGCCCTGCAATTCCCAATGGCCACCAAGACAAACTTGGTGGAACCTAGGCTAGGCTTGATATAAGAGGCCAGGTCTAATTGGATAATGGGCCAGGCCTTAGCCATGGGAGCCTCGCAGTAGGGATAGTTTTGTTTTTGACTCTTCAAACCGAACCAGGATGGAAAACAACACTTAGGAATACAGGGAACATCTAAAGCCTCCACTGTACCCCAAAGAGAGTCAAGCAGAGTGTAGATAGAGTAGGATAAGGCTCTAGACCTGTGGACGACTTAACAGAGGCCGGGAGTCAGAAAGGGCCCTCACAGTAGGCACTATTCAGTGTAGCATTGATCAAGAACAAGGACTCTGGAGCCGGGCTGCTGTGTTCAAATCTTGAAGCCACCATGACCAGCTGTGTGATCTTGGGCTAGTTGCTCAGCTTCTCTGAAGGTCAATACCTACATGGTAAATGTAGTCTCTCCCCCACACTGTTGTTACAAAACTTAAGTGTTTAGAACAATACCTAAAACACATAGTCAACTATAGACATTTGTTTACTGTCACAGATTATCACTTTTGTAACTCAAGTACCTACTCTAAAGTCAGAAACACAAGTAAAATAGAGGAACACAAAACAACCCTGTCCTGCTCAGGGATGGTACTCTGAAGGTTCAGGAGGGCTTGAGTAGAATTTCTTACACCTGTGAGTTTTCATGGGCTCAGCAACAGGGCTAGCTCTGTCCCCGGGCAGGCATGGGCAGATCCATAACACCTGCCATTCTCCTTGACCCTCTGCAACCCTCCCACGGAGCAGCAGAGATTTCTAGCAGACCATTACAGACTACGTCTTTCTGCCCCCAGTGCTGTGTCCTCCGTGTTTCCTTCCAGATGCTTCTCGGTTCTGATTCAATCTAACTAATAATCTTCATGCTGAAGTCTAATTAAGATACCAATTAGTTTGCATCATTCATTTCAGAAGGAGCGCTTATTGGTTCGTCTTCTATTTATCTCTGAAATTAGTGCTCGGGCTTTTCATATAGATACTTCCATTAGACTTTTTTATTGTTAATGGGAATATTGAATACAGGGAGATGGCACATTGATACTTTCTACAAAGAATATCATGATTGGTGACAAAGAACACTGAGAACAATTAAGGAGACAAGAGTACCTTTTTTTCTTCCAAAAAAGAAAATCTTCCTAGAAACCGTCAATGATTCTAAAATTTGCCCTATTTTTTTTTTTTTTAAGAAAGAAAAGGAACCAGCAAGTTCATGTTTCCCTTTCATTCAGTGCCCTCAACCCTTGACAGCTGTAAGTGCAACCAGTTCTGGGTTGAATTAAAAGTACCTCAGAGGGGTCATTATTCTGTCTACTTTTCTATAGGGTTGAATTTTTTTCCCATTATTAGAGTTTTTTGTGTTTTTAAAGGACCTTTAAGTGTGTTAGATGAATAAGATAAATGGAAAAGAAAATCCAATGTGCAGGGCAGGAATTAATACCCCCTGCTTTCTAGTTCAGTGGTCAGTATGCATTTGAGTGATTGGTCCCTCTCCTGGGTGACCTCAGGGAAGTTGCTTAACTTCTCTGAGACCATGGTTTCTCATCTCTACAATGGACACAGAGCTTTCCTCTTTAGGGCAGAAACAAGTTAAAAAACAAATTCCACAGGCAAAGGGGAGGAGCCTTCCTAGAGAGAGGCAGGACAGAGAACCAGTTTGCCCTGGTTCCTAATCAACCAAGCTGCAGATCCTGTAGAAATTTGCACGTGTGGATATAGATAATTATGTAATGTGGGTTTGTTTAAATATAGCCAGAACCCTGCTAGTGATAACAAACAGAATAAACAATTGTTATCAGGATCAGCATTGGAGATGAAGAGCACAAACGGAGGCAGGACTGGTAATACTTCTTGATGGAGACTTGTCTGTGCCGTTATCCAGGTGTTCTTTGAGGGTCCATTTTAAGTAGGACCTATG